CAGGGATTTCACTCCTTATCAAAGAAGTAGCACATAGGCTTTGCTTCAGGCTCTGTTTTTGAGGGAACCCAAGGCTAAGACATCTCTCAATCTTTCACAGCCACTCTGTCCACTCCTTATTTGACAGCAATTTTTAGTGACCTGATTATAACAAGTCTTTCTAAAGCATTTAACTTTTTAATAGTAAAAGCAAATTTTTCTTTTTAATACTCACATTTCATGGATTAATGTAATAAATTATATAATGACAGTAAAACACATAACTGGCAAAAGAGGTTCTTTAGAAACACAGTTGGCCCTTGGTATGCTGGAAAGCAGTCATGAGTTTGCAGATTAATTTTTTTGGGTCTTTGTCCATAGCAATTTACATTAAAAAAAATAGAAATATAGTTGATTTACAATATTGTGTTAGTTTCAGGTATACAGCAACATGAGTCAGTTATATATATGTACATTTTTCATATTTTTTTCCATTATAGGTTATTACAAGATTTTTTTTTTTAATTTTATTTTTTTGGCTGTGTTGGGTCTTTGTTGCTGCATGCAGGCTTTCTGTAGTTGCGGCGAGCGGGGGCTACTCCTTGTTGTGGTGCGCAGGCTTCTCACTGCAGTGGCTTCTCTTGTTGCGGAGAACAGCTCTAGGCGCGTGGGCTTCAGTAGTTGTGGCACGTGGGCCCTAGAACGCAGGCTCAGTAGCTGTGGCGCACAGGCCCAGTTGCTCCACAGCATGTGGGATCTTCCCAGGCCAGGGACCGAACCCGTGTCCCCTGCACTGGCAGGCGGATTCCTAACCACTGCACCACCAAGGAAGTCCTATTACAAGATTTTGTGTTATACAATAAATCCTTGCTGTTTACTTTATTTACAGTAGTTTGTATCTGTTAATCCCATACTCCTAATACCTCCCCCCATTTCCCCTTTGATAACCATAAGTTTGTTTGTGAGTCTGTCTGTTTTGTACATAGATTCATTTGTATTATTTTTTAGATTCCACATATTAGTGATATCACACAGTACTTGCCTCTGTCGGACTTACTTCACTTAGTATGATATGCTCTACGTCCATCCACTCTGCTACAAAAGGCAGTATTTCATTCTTTTTTTATAGCTGAGTAATATTCTATTGTATATATACTACATTTTCTTAAACCAATTGTCTGTTGATGGGCACTTAGGTTGCTTCCTTGTCTTGGTTATTGTGAATAGTGCTGCTATGAACACTGGGATACATGTATCTTCTTGAATTAAGATTAAATTAATTTTGTCTTTTCTGGATATATGGCCAGGAGTGGGATTGCTGGATCATATGATAGTTCTATTTTTAGTTTTTAAGGAACCTCCATACTGTTTTCCGTAGTGGCTGCACCAATTTATATTCTCACCAACAGTGTAGGAGCTTTCACTTTTCTTCACACCCTCTCCAGCATTTATTACTTGTAGACTTTTTGATGATAGCCATTCTGACTGGTGTGAGGTGATACCTCATTGTGGTTTTGATTTGCATTTCTCTAAAATTAGCAATGTTGAGCATCTTCTCATGTGCCTATTGGCCATCTGGATGTCTTCTTTGGAGAAATGTCTACTTAGGTCTTTTGCCCTTTTTTTTTTTTTAATTGAGTTGTATGAGCTGTTTATGTATTTTGGAAATTAACACCTTGTCAGTTGTATTGTTTGCAAATATTTTCTCCATTCTGTAGGTTGTCTTGTCATTTTGTTGATGGTTTCCTTTGCTGTGTAAAAACTTTTAAGTTTGATTAGGTCCCATTTGTTTATTTTTGCTTTTATTTCTACTGCCTTGGGAGACTGATCTAAGAAAATATTGCTACGATTTATGTCCCAGAATGTTTTGCCTATGTTCTTTTCTAGGAATTTTATGGTGTCATGTCTTGTATTTAGTTCTTAAAACCATTTTATTTTTGTATATGGTGTGAGGGAGTTTTCTAATTTCACTGATTTATGTGTAGCTGTCCAGCTTTCCCAACACCACTTGCTAAAGAGACTGTTTTTTCTCCATTGTATATTCTTGCCTCCTTTGTTGTAGATTAATTGGCCATAGGTGTGTGAGTTTATTTCTGGGCTCTTATTCTGTTCCATTGATCCATGTGTCTGTTTTTGTGCCAATACCATGCTGTTTTGATCACTGTAGCTTTGTAGTATAGTCTGAAGTCTGGGAGAACTATGCCTCCAGCTTTGTTCTTTTTGCTCAGGATTGCTTTGGCAATTCTGGGTCTTCCTTGTTTCCACATAAATTTTACGATTATTGGTTCTATGTGAAACATGTCCTGGGTATTTTGATAGGGATCGCATTAAATCTGTAGAGTGCTTTGGGTAGTATGGCCATTTTAACAATATTAATTCTCCCAATCAAAGAGCATGAGATATCCTTCCATTTCTTTGAATCATCTTAAATTTCTTTTATCAATGTTTTATAGTTTTCAGTGTATAGGTCTTTCACCTCCTTGGTTAAGTTTATTCCTAAGTATTTTTTTGATGTAATTTTAAACAGGATTTTTTTTAAAACTTTCTCTTTCTGATATTTCATTGTTAGTACAAAGAAATGCAACAGATTTCTGTATATTAATCATGTATCCTGCTACCTTCCTGAATTCATTTATTAGTTCTATTAGTTTTTATGTGGAGTTTTTAGGGTTCTCTATATAGAGTATCACATCATGCAGATTAATTTTGTTTGGCCATTTTGGAAAAACAGTTTGGAAGCTTCTTAAAAAGTTAAGCATATACCTAAACCTATGACTCAGTCATTCCCTCCTTGGTATTTACCAAACAGAAATAACGTATATGTCTGTCCATAAAAATTTGTACGCAACTGTTCATAGTAGCTTTGGTTGTAGTAGCCAAAAAAGGAAAATAACCCAAATGTACATTAACAGGTAAATGTATTAACAAATTGTGATTATATACATATAATAGAGTGCTACTCAGCAATAAAAAGAAATGAACTATTGATACATGCAATGCACATGGATCTCGAAGTAACAACACTGAGTGAAAGAAGCCAGAAAAAAAAGTACTTACTATGTGACTTCATGTATATAAAATTCTAGAAAATTCAAACTAATCTAAAGTGACAGTAACAGATTAGTGGTTGCCTTGGGAAGGGGGAGGGGAACAGAGAGGCAGGAGGGAGGGATTACAAAGGAGCAAGAGGAAACTTCTTGGGGTGATGGATGTATTCACTATCTTGATTGTGGCAATGGTTTCATGGATGCATACATGTCAAAACGATCAAATTGTATTATTTAAATATGCATAGTTTACTGTATGTACATTATACCTCAATAAATTTGTTAAGAAAACTAAAAATTTACACATGGCAAACAAACACATAATGTACTTACTATCATTAGTTAATAAGGAAATATAAATTAAAACCACAGAGATCTAATATAGTTACTGGGGAAAGCATAAAGGTTGTTTAATATGCTTTCCTATTAGCATCAAAAATTCACCTGATTTAGAAATAACATGAACTCGTAATTATTATAGGAAAAGGTCATATTCTGTTTTATTACAATGTTTTGATGCCATCCTGTCCAGCTCCAGCAGTCATGTGGAAACAGTCTGACATGTCCCTTTAGCAACCTAGGTTTTTCCTAGGTTGGTCTCCATTAAGGCAAAAGCAACTGGTGAGCAATGTATTCCATGTTTGAGAAAGAATAACTCAACCTGAGTTTTAGGTTACCTTAACTATTATCACAAAGAATGTTTTCAGCCGTTCCTTGTAGGGGGTGGTGTTAAAAAAGATGAAGGGATAGATCTGACAAGAGGGCTACTCTAGGCACAAGTATTATAGAAACAATCTAAGTATCAACTGGAAATGATTACACACCCACCAAAAATACTAAGATAAAAAAGACAAACACAGATGTTGGAGAAAATGTGGAGTAACGGTAAGTCCCCATTGTTGAAGGCATGTAAAATGTACAATCCTTTGGAAGAAAGGTCTGGCAGTTTTTTATGAAACTAAACATACACCTACCCTAGGACTTAATGATTCCATCCTTAGATGTTTACTCAAGAGGAATAAAGACATGTGTTCATAAAAAAATTTGTATAAGAATGTTCATAGCAGCTTTATTCATAACAGCAAAAAAAAAGAAAGAAAAGTGGAAACAGCCCAGGTGTCCATCAACAGGAAAATGGAAAAAAACAAACTGACATATTCATACAAGAGAATATTCAGCAATAAAAAGGAATGAACCACTGATACAGGCAACATGAATTGATCTCAAAAACATGCTGAGTGAAAGAGGCATTATGCTTTGCGTGATTTCATTTATATGAAGTTTTAGAATAGAAAAATTTAATCTGTGAGGCAAAATAAGCAGAACAGTAGTTACATCTGAGAGTTGGGGTAGGGAATGACTGGGAAGGGGCATGAGGAAACTTTCTGGCATGATTGCAATGTTCTAAATTTTGAAAAGGGTTTGGGTTACACAGGTGTATGAATTTGGGAAAAATTAGCAAATTTATACTTAATATTTGTGCATTACACTGCATGTGAATGTACCTTAAAAATGAAAAAAATGAAACCATACTAAACCCTACTTAATGATATGCCTTTTGAAGTATTAGGGGGATATATACTGATGTCTGCAATTTATTTTGAAAAGCATCATAAAAATAACATGGATGGGTAAGTAATAAAACATGTAGAATTAGAATCCATGTGGTTGGTATTTGGGTATTTACTGTAAAATTCTCTCAATTTTGCTGTATGTTTGAAAATTTTTATAATAAAACGATTAGGAAAAGCCAGTTGGTCTTATCTTTCTATTATCTATCCTTGGCCTGAAATAAATTATTCTTTCTATAGGATAGAGACTCTATAGAAACACAGGGACTGGAAATTAGCCCTGCATAATCCCTGGGATTCTAAAAGGTAAGTCATACATGTAAACATTGTAAGAAAGGTAAGAAAACATATTAATTATTGAAAAGAAAGCCAAGTTACATTAAGAGTAATTACTAATATTGGTGTTTATTATCACCACAAACAAGATGAGAGTACCATTTTTTTGTATCTTTTTAAAAACTGACTTTTTTCAGCCATTGCATGAAGAGCCATTTTTTTTTTTTTTTTTTGTGGTACACGGGCCTCTCACTGCTGTGGCCTCTCCCGCCGCAGAGCACAGGCTCTGGACGCGCAGGCTCAGCGGCCATGGCCCACGGGCCCAGCCACTCCGCGGCACGTGGGATCCTCCCGGGCCGGGGCACGAACCCGTGTCCCCTGCACTGGCAGGCGGACTCTCAACCACTGCGCCACCAGGGAAGCCCAAGAGCCATCTTTTATGTCAAGTTATATACATGAATAGGCCAATTGTGTCTCATCCAAAATTTGTCCAAAATTCGGATATCTAATCATTTTTTAAAAAGACTTTCAAGCATTTTCGTATATACCCAATGTTATCATTGTTAATATGCTACATATGGGATAAAATAACATCCTTTGCCTTTTGAGAGCTTTAGAGGAAATCTGGCATAAGTGTGTGTCAAACAAATCTGAATGTGTTTCCCATCTCTGCACTTATTAGTTGTAGGCCCTTGGGCAAATTAACTTCTGTAAGCCTCACTTTCCTCACTTTACAAATGAGGAAGAAAAATGGTAGTTCATACCTCATACGGTTATTCTGAATGTTAAGTGAGACAATTCATTTTACATGTATCACAGTGATTGGCAGATAGAAAGCACTCAATAAATATGCTATCATTAAGAAAAAAGTGTGTACAAGAAACAAAACATTCAATTGATGGAAAAATGTGGAACAAAACCTTAGTTTATTTAAATAGAACAGTATCATCTCCTCACAAGGTAGTTCAAATAGCAACTACAATAGGATTTGTTTTTTTTCTCTCTGAGTTGCGAGAAATGTTTTAGAAAGTCAAAGAACAATAATCTTGCTGCACTGATACTGTGAGAATTCAGACTCTTAGATCAAAGAGAGAAATGCAGAAATATACCTCTCATCAGCTTAATATCTGGACCATCTAAAAGAAGCTACCCTGTTTCACCCAATCTTGCATTAAACATTCAGAAATGTCACCCATATTGTTTTATGCCTGTCACTAGCACCTGTTAAGTAGGCTGGCACATAGTTAAAGCCTCTAAAATAGTCAGATAGAGAGGAGGGTTAAGAAGGGGCAGGAGGATATTAACTACCACTTCCCTCTGCCCTCAGGAGAACAGCAGTCTCATGTCTGGCAGGCGGCGGAATGAGCAGCTGCGTGCCACTGTAGGGAGCTGGGAAGCCAATAATTTTGGGGGAATCATGCTCTATTGTTTCCTGCTATGTCTGTTACCTGTGCATTTACCACATTCTTTGCTATCTTCTTTATCTTTTGGCACCCTTTTTATTAACCTTCTTGTTAACAATCATGCAGTCCACATTCCCACATGGTGTTACAACTGGCTGAAACTAAGCAGTAGCAGCTTGTCCCTTTAGTTGGGGCATAGCTCTCCTATTTGTTACACTGTCCACAACTCCGTATTGTCTTTCACACTAGGTGCATTTCCTGCCTGGCCCATATGGCATGTGGATCCAGGTCTAGTTTGATTTGGGCAGCAGTGAGACAATAGGCGTTTCTTAGTGCTCAGTTCCTGTCTTGACTGGAAGTATTCCACCCAACCCTGCCCCCACCAAAAAAGCAGCCAAGAATCTCAGATAGTTCTCAGATGCCTTTCTGAACAGATGAGTTCCTTCATAAAAAGAAGGCAATGACTTAGAGAAAGGTAAACTCAACAAGCCTGCTTTTTAAAAAAAAATCTGACAGAATTGAAGTCTTAAGACATCCTTTTCTGAAACACTTTTGGAAATGGAGAGCAGGCTTTCTGCCTTTACATAGCACTGCATCTGCTTTGAAACCCACCATACTGGTTTCTTTTCTTTTCTCTGATATTTATCTATTTCCTCTTATCGAACCTGTTTCAAGGTATAAATTCACTGGGCAGGACTATTTAGATATAGCTCATGTCTAGTTGGAAGTCTGGGGCAATATCTAGCACATCATAACTATTCAGCTATTCATAACTGTGCTTTGTAATCACAATCATGTCTCCAAAATACTCTGACTTCAAATATTATATTAAATAGTACTATTAAATATGCATAAAACGAGAATGGATTTTTCAACTTGTAGATATAAAAGTATTAGAATTTAATATATGAAGATAGTTTTATCATCTTGCTCATGAGGTAATCATTTTTACTTTCCCAAGTGGTTATTATACATAAGTGCAGATTCAGAAAGATTTATTTTTAGCCAACATATAAATATTTTCCCTTATTCTAAAATGTTAGCAATCTTCTTTTCTATTGCACAAAAGACAGTTTTAGGTTTGTTCCCTTTATTTTTTTTTAATTTATGGACTCTGCTACTAATTTCTAGACTTTTGGAATAGCTAACGCCTTTCTCTCACCAGCCCTGTTGATCATAATTAGCCTGAAATTTATCTGCAAACTTCAAGGGCAGAACAGGGCAGAATTCACATTGTTCTTAACATGGGATCAGGCCAAAACTGAAGGAAAAACTGGAGGATTTTGATGTAAATCATCCAAGCTAATATCCCATATTTTAATTTTAAATTTGAATCAGCAATGATTTTTACTGCTGTCTCGTCCTCTTCTATTTTTACTAGTTATTCTTTTGAGCCTGAATCAGAGAAATGTGCTAAACATATGTATTGCAAGCAACTGGATTTTTCAAATAGGAACCACAAAGAAACATTTTCCTCCCTTTACTTGGGCTGCTTTTATTTAACATTCTGAAGAATGATTATCTGAGTTCAAGGATCATATTTTGATCAGTTCTAATAAAGAAGAAAAAATACTCATCTCACAGCTAAGATAGAGCCAAAACCTTTTTCTAGCTGCCAGTCAGTTTCCAAGCTAGTAAGAACTCCTGGGACTTTATCTACTCTTCTACAGGGAGCAGAGCTGGTACAACCCAGGATACCTTTATCTTATTGCCTAGGTATGAAAATATTGCCTAAGCAGAACTGGAAGACTCACCAAATAAATAGATGAGTGAAATGAATACAACATTCTTAGATGTATTAACAGCTAAACAGCCTACATATGAGAAAAAAAATTTCACTTACAGTTTGCTTGAAATCTTTTACATTAGCCTAACAGAAACACAAAAAACCAATGGGAACATCAAACCAAGAGAATAAAACCATGGAAGAAAAGATTATTGGGGAACTACAGCCAATTCCTGATACTATATACAAACACAAAACATATATACATATACATTTTTTTAAAACTGTGATGACACATTTTTGGCTCAAAGTATTCTTTCATATCATAGATCTCATTTTCCATCCTTAAACAAAGTTTGGGTGAGAGGATACAGGATTTCTTGATTTCTTTCTGTATCTTTTGTATCTTTCTTTTTATCTCTCCCCCTTAGTTTTACTAATCAAAATCCCAGGCCATCCTTTAACAACCACGTTAAACACCTACTCATCAATGACCCTCTCCCAAAAATTAGAATTAACCTCTTTCTCTGCTCTTCAATGTTTTATATTTGCATCACCACCCGCCTAAAAACTGCAAAATGTTAGACTTCTTGGGATGTCATTGTAAAAAATCTCTACATAAAATGAAGTACTCACCACCTTGTATGGCAAGAGTTTAAAAAAGAAGTCACAGTCATCTGAAGTCAACACAAGACCTTTTCTGGAAAATACTGGAGAATATGCTATGCAGATAATAAAAAGGAGAACTGGGCATGGCTGCTGGGGTGTTTGGCTAGAAGTCTCAGAAGTTACATCTCAAAATTTAAAATTATTGCAATCCTTTTTACAACTTTTGTTTGTGGTTTCTTCTTCTTCCCCAGGGTCACATACCATCTGGTAAACATAGCAGCTGAAGACCCTGCTGGGTTTCTGTTCTATGTGTAGTACCAAGTCTCTGTCAAAGTAAACTTCGTGGCTATATGTCTGTAACGAAAACAAAGGCAAATGGAATCTCCTCTTCACATAATCATATTCACTACTGAGTCATTAAAATGTCACAGCGTCTATGCTAGGGATGTTCAAATATACACTTGGAGGCAAAATAGCTGCCAGAAATAGTTTATTTTTCATTATTTGTGGATATGCAGACGACTTATGAGGAAAGCATTACACAAAATGTTGAGAATGAAAAGAACCCTGGACTTAAGAGTCTGAACACCCAGATTCTATTGCCAACATTGCCACTATTTCACTTGTGACCGTGGGCAAGTTGCTAAATCTTTCAGGTTCTCCATTGATAAAACAATGATTGGGTAAAGTAACATCTACTGTTCTTTATAACTTTTATATTCTATAATACTTAGAAGAGCAGACAAACGCTTCTAAGAGTGCTTGAAAATCCTACACGCTTAGATTTGTCTCTATTAAATAACTGTGGGGATTTGATACAGTATATTTTTCTTTTTTAAAACATTACCAAACTTATAAAATAGGAGAAAACTAGACTATGGTAAGGAAATAGACAGTATGTCTCATGAAAAAAGCATAAAACTTTATCTTTAAAGCCAATGGTAAGGAGAAATTCTCCTCCCTAGAGGAGAAAGTCTAAAGAAGTACTCATTTTGTCCTGCATGTAGGATGATAACCTCTTCCATGTGGTCACTGGTATAGGTGAACCTGGACTGACGTGAACACAGTAACATCTGTTCCAATAAATGTCACCTATAAAGGAAACTCTTACAACTTTGTATTCCATGGACCCTACTCACCACATCCCATGACTCCACGAGTGGAATGCTTTTAAGTAAAGTTCCATATTCATTACAGTGGAAATCCAGGTGAGCTTTCCCTTCAGCATCTATTTGAGTAACAGCTACCACAGAAAGCAAATCTAACTCATCTTCATAGTCCACAATTTTGAA